CGGGGGCAGAGAGGAGCAGATCGTTGTTTTGTTTTTTTTTTTTTTTTGGGGGGGGGGGGTGATCAATGTAGTCCTGGCACTGCACTGACTGTGCTGCATTTGGATGCTTTAGTGTCTCATGCGAACACTTGCATTGGGTGCACATATTGTCAGAACTCCCCTATGTGCCAACTGATTGGTTCAGCTCATGTTTGTATGCCTCGTCGACTTTTACACGCAACTTCCTCTCCGGTTTGGATAAATACACCAGCCAGACCCCTCCCCTTGATGATGATGTGTAGATCAATATGGATCCCTGTGTTTGTGCGTGTGGTTTTGATGTGAGAGGGAACCGCAGGGGAGAACTTGGCGTACAGATAAATATTGATACAAACCAAGCAAGAGTCCAGTTGATTCATGTGTCCGCTGACAATAAACTCAACGGTTCCCGGGATTGTACGGAGACGCCGGTGACGACGCTCAGCTAGTTTTCCCCCCCGCGCATGAGGGCAACCGCCAAGCTGACCCGGAGACGCTGGGAAACAGGGCCATGAGTCGACAGCTGTAAGGAAGAGTCAGGGGAGGCAAAAAAAAAAAAAAAAAAGGAGCGAGAGACTGTCGTGCTCATGTGTGACCGGAAGAGCTCCAGGAGGCATGCGAGCAAGAGGGAGTCCTCGAAGGAGTCGTCGCGCTCCTCTGAATCGGGCTCGCGCTTGACAGAGGCGACCGAGGCGCCCGTAGTCATCCCAGATGGTGAGAAATTTGGGGCGGCAGTGCTTAGAAAATCATTTTCTAACAGGGACTAGAGCAACTTTCCCAGGATTTTTTTTTTTTTTTTCTCCCGAGCGACCAATCCGCTTGCGTTGTTCTCAGTGGGACGCTCTACACGCGTTTATGGAATCCCTGCGCTCTCTCATTCTATTGTTGGATCTGTTGCTCCTCGGAGAATTTGCAAGCCATCTAGTAGCTTGAATTGAAATTTATTTCTGTGTATTCTTGTTTACGTCATGTTTTCTGGATGAATATGCCTCAAAAGTTCATCCGATTTGAATTCGGGCCTTCACTGTGCAGGCAAATCGCAGCAATGATTTTGTTTGTGTGATGGCCCCACAGAGCTACCGGTGATAAAAGGACCGATGCTCTTCGTACAATGGGAAATGGTCTAGCTGCTCAATACGAAGAGCCCTAGAATTCAGTAACTTATCACTGAACTCTTTTCGCAAATTAATTTCACAGCGCATACTCAGATGAAAATAGAATGTAGCTTGATAGCAGAATGGCTCATTGAGTTGCGTGGAGAGGACCGGAGACACTATTAGATGAGAGACACTATTAGATGACATGTCTGTCAAGAATCTTCCAATGGTGAGTTTAACTTTTATTTTGGTTTATTTAGGAAAATGCGGAGGCTCGCTTCTCCATTGAATGAAAAAAAAAATAGGTATCACAGAAGCATTTGCAGGTTGAGATGAGAGTCAAAATGGGGACCGTTGACCGTGCGGATAAAAATTTGGCGACTGCACCTTCTCGCAAATGACCGGCTTCCGCGCTTGCATTTGGCCGCGGGCTGTTGTTTCGCATTGATTATTCCGACGTTCCCACGTGATCCCGAAATGTTCAATGCGCTGCAGCTTTCCTCTAGTTTGAAAGCTGTTGTACGGCTGCACACGTCACTCTTGCTCCACGTTGGGTCGATTTTCTGCCTGATCGTCACAAACTATGAAAAGCGTCATTGTGTTCGAAGGGACCCCTTGCATCCATCCTCTGCAGCGTGTGTGTTTTATTTTATTTTATTTTTAACATATGCTTTAAGAGGAAGGACGAATGACTGGTTATCAGTGCGTTCCCACAGAGAACTGTGATTTGGCCCATAAAGATAATAGGGGGCGGAATTGTACTTCTGCATATGACACCGTGTGTCATGTCACGTTGTCGGAATATGTCCACAGGCATATCTTTGGCCATCCGATAATGGTGTGTGTGTGTGCGTGTGCGTGTGCGTGCACTGATGCGTCTCTGGGCCAGTACTTATGTAGCTTTGCATTGTACCACTGAGTCGGACTGCGCGCTGCCCTCCACACTTTTGCACTGCGGTGAGAAGCTGGTTTTTTGCACTGATTAATGCCCCCCCCCACTCCCAACACTCACTATCATCATCTGAAGTCCTTCAACTCGTGATTACACACATTATGTATCCACTGAAAATAAAAATCTACACAAATGCAACCTCCAAGGCAGTCCAAGCCCTCTTAACTGTCATGAATGTTAGCATTAAGATGTTAAAAAAAAAAAAAAAAAACAGAACAGTGGTAGCTTTGATCTTAGGCTAAAACCATGAATCGTTTAATTAATAATTTCTTGGAACCTTTGCCCAAATGTGCGCTCCGATTTCACCTTCCATTACATTGCCATCTGTTTAAATATCAGTTTTACGTTTTGTGGCATCCATTTTAGGAACTATCGCTGCATGGGGCCCAGGTGATGCCACAGAGCAAACATCCCAGAAGCACCTACGGGTGGCCATTTTGGAATGTTTCTAAACACCTGGCAGCCATTACAGCCAAAACATCACGTTCCTTTCGGGCGCTTCCTTGTGACACAGGAAGTGCTAACGTTCATGTCGATGGATCGATGTGTTCTAAAAAAACGTCCTGGATGTGTCACTCACTTTGTAACGTTACGTTCTTGTTGTGTTCTTTGTTTTGCCATCACAGTGAAGGAGTTTCTTGCCAAAGCCAAAGAGGACTTCCTGAAGAAATGGGAGAATCCAGCACAGGTAAGGCAAGACCACAGAAAATCCAAGCAGGAGATGTTCGTGTGACAATCCACCCCTCTTGTTTTATTTATTGATTTTTTTTTTTGTTAAGGCAGTGCGCCCTCTGCTGGTTGTCACGCAACATTGATCTTTTCATCTCTTCTCTATTTTGGCATGCTGACATTTTATCTTGTCCCTCGTGTCCTCAGCAAACCGCAGGATTGGACCACTTTGAGCGTCTCAAGACTTTAGGCACCGGCTCCTTCGGCAGAGTCATGCTGGTCAAGCACAAAGAGTCGGGCCAGCATTTTGCCATGAAGATACTTGACAAACAGAAGGTGAGCTTCCTCAATGTTTGCTTGAGTGCGTCTTCGGAGCTTGAATGAAGCGGTTTTATTGTTTCTACGCCATTTGTGACATGAGAGAAGAAAATGCAGATGTAAAATGACAAGGCAACATATCGTATGCAGATGCAACTCAATTATTTTGTGGGGGGCAGAAAAATAGTAGTTTCAGTCAGAGAGTGCAACTTTACATGTTGGCAACGCAAAAAATTCACCATCTCAAGAAATTAGAATATTACATAAACTATCAAATAACTTTGAATAGAAATAATATTACCAAAAAGATTTTTTTTTTTGCCCTTTGTCTTATGTGTTAATTCTGTTTCACTTTCTGAACGGAACCACTGAAATAATTGAACTTTCTACCATTTTTTAAAATTTACTGCAATGCACCTGTAAGTATATTCATATTTTCTTCCCCCCGCCGCCCATAAAAATAGCAGTTTTTGTGGCGTCTTGACAGGTGGTAAAGCTGAAGCAGATTGAGCACACGCTGAATGAGAAACGCATCCTGCAGGCGGTTAACTTTCCCTTCCTTGTGCGACTGGAGCACTCTTTTAAGGTGAGCATCTTGCGACCATTCATCCCGAGCGGGCTGCTTCGGCTCATTTTGCGTCACGCTAAGCGTCGCCGCTCGTCTCCCAAACAGGACAACAGTAATCTCTATATGATAATGGAGTACGTACCTGGAGGCGAAATGTTCTCCCACTTGAGGAGAATCGGTAGATTCAGGTAAATTTTTATTTTTTTTCCCTCCTGCATATTTTGTCCTAAATTGGTCCGCTGCATATAAATGTTGTCGCACTTCTACTTATCCGGATGCGTGTTCTCCCCAGTGAACCACACGCCCGCTTCTACGCAGCGCAGATTGTGCTGACCTTCGAGTACCTTCACTCGCTGGACCTCATCTACAGGGACCTGAAGCCAGAGAACCTACTCATTGACCAGCAGGGTTATATCCAGGCGAGGCCATTTGACACGTTTTTAAGCTTTCGAAGCGGTGATGATGATCTTTTTGACCGTTGTGCGACTTTTTACTTGTGCAGGTTACAGATTTCGGCTTTGCGAAAAGAGTGAAAGGCCGAACCTGGACGCTTTGCGGAACCCCCGAGTATCTGGCACCGGAGATCATCCTCAGTAAAGTGAGTGGTTGACCGAGCTGCACTTGAAGATAGCGCAGCACCTTTTGATTTTTTTTTGCTGGTTTCCAGGGTTACAATAAAGCTGTTGACTGGTGGGCTTTGGGAGTGCTCATATATGAGATGGCTGCGGGCTACCCCCCCTTCTTCGCAGACCAACCCATCCAAATTTATGAGAAGATTGTCTCGGGGAAGGTGAGTTGATTAAAGGTTGTGTCATTTCTCCAGTTTGCGAAGTGGAAGTGCCTCAAAATTAGGGCTGCTTCGATGTGGTTTATTTATTTTAGAGGAATATTACCGATATCTTCACACCGCTGAAAAGTGTGCACACCCGATTGTAACAGCGATGTGGCTGTATTCCGAATGAATCGCATTCAAAATGGGATTCAGCACGCACAAGCCACCATTTTAAGTGCCTCTGATTAACCCAAAATAAACTTCTTAGACTTTTTACTACTATTGAATGTGTAGTTTGCCTTTCATACAAACTCAGCTAAGACAGGCTCCATGAAACAGAATAACTACTACAATTTGCACTATAAAAAAATAGTCGAGTTGATGTCAACTAGTCACTGATGGCATCATTGACAGTTTTTGATTTGCATCGACATCATCGATGGGAACTGAGCTCTGGCCCTAACGCCAGCTCATGAGAACTGGTTGTTAAGCGAGAGCCCAAAAATGCGGGAAGAAAAAAAAAACTTGATATCAAGACGTCGGGCTGTTTCCAGGTTCGCTTCCCCTCACACTTCAGCTCGGACTTGAAGGACATGTTGAGAAACCTGCTGCAGGTGGACCTCACCAAGCGCTTTGGAAACCTCAGGAACGGCGTCAATGACATCAAGGGCCACAAGTGGTTCGCCACCACCGACTGGATCGCCATCTACCAGAGGAAGGTGAGCCAGACGTCCCCGCCCTCTCGCTCCTTGCCTCTTAACTTCCACGTTAAGAGGCAAGCATAAGCATTTTGAACCAACTGGAGCCATTTGAGCGCCGGCTGACTCCAAAATAAAGTGACCACATCCGCCGCGGTCCACTTCTTGACTCGCCTGCTCGTGTGTTCCAGGTGGAGGCGCCCTTCATCCCCAAGTGCAGAGGCCCCGGTGACACCAGCAACTTTGACGACTATGACGAGGAGGAGATCAGAGTGTCCATCACGGAGAAGTGCGCCAAGGAGTTTGCCGAGTTCTAAGTTCCCATCCACCGCTTAGCCAGAGTCGGTCAGGGGTTCTGGGAGTGGGGCGCGTGCGGCGGCCGGACTGCTTATTCGTAACATTTTTTTTTTCAATCCTTCACCTCCAGACGCAAGACGGTCAAGCAGCAAGGAAAGAGCCAACATAACCAGCAGTGTTGCCTTTTTCTCATTTCTAATCCCAACTGTTACCTGTTCATCCCTAAGCGTGTATCGTCGTGGCCAGGTTGTCATCACATGTTGTCATCAGGCGTTGTGAAGGTACCCAATCTGCTTTTTTTTTTTTCCTCCCCTCTCGTTTTTTTTTTTTTTTTTTTTTTTTTTTTTGAGCGGCGACTTGAGTGTCTTGTTAACCTGCCCCTTCTTCAAAGTCGTCCAAGCAATACCGAGTCCAACAGATGTGCCTATTGCCATGCCAGCTGTTCGGAGCACTGTCAGACCAATAGCCTCAGCGTGGAGCTTTAGAGTCAAAAAAAGATTTATCACCATTTACGCGTTCTTGTTTGTCACTTGCATGTGTCTTTATTGCAGCTTTTTTTTTTTTTTTTTTTTTAATCCTACTGGCGATCTTTTTTTTTTTTTATGTTGATCCGTGCTTGTTTATTTGGTGTTCAGTTGCGTTAAACACTTCTGTTATTTAAAGTCTTTAAAATACGTGTGTATTGATGATATAAACTGGATGTAAAAAGTTTACACGCTGAGCTTAATTTGGGGTTAATCAGAGGCAGAGGCGGGCACTGACTGCAATTTAACAGGAGTTTAAATGTGATTGGGTAATTCTGAACACGGCCACGTCCTGAGAAATATGGGTGTGTAGACTTTTTATATCCACTGTATATGTTTTGAGAGGCACTCAGAATGATTCAACTCCCAATTGTAAACAAAATCAACCATTATATCCACATTTCCATTAAAACGCACCAGGGACCGACCGTCTAGGGAACATTTTTACATTTGCAAATAAATATGCTTAACATTGGGCAGCGCGGTGAAATAGTGGTTCGCTCTGAAGTTCAGGTTCGAACCCGGCTTCCTTCGGCTTTCTACTACATTCCAAAAACATGCATGTTAAAGTCAGCGAAGACTCGATGGGTGTACTTTACAACGGGGCTTTGAATGATTTTGAGTGCAAGCATAAATGATGAGGAACATTTTTTTGGCGTTGTCTCTCAGCTGTGAGTGCTTAAATAAAGATCCATTCTGCCCCACTTGGCAAACCTGACAGGATCGCAAGGTTTTCTGTATGGAATGAAGGAGGGGGGCAAAAAAGTGTGTGTGCTTTTTTTTGGGAGGGCGGCGGGGTGGCATTTTTCTCCCAAAATGTGTCAAACCCACCTAAATGCTGGTAACATTTGTTCGGTTCAATCTGGCTGTGTGATTTGAAAACGCCTAAAATGGCTGCCGATTTGAAAAAAGGTTTTCCTAACGTCCAATCTTGATTTGAATTTGGATGCTAGACAATCGCAGACCAATGCTAATCCCTGGTTTGTTGACTCTGTGCATTTATGAAGCTTGTTTCGCTCTCCGTCCTTTCTCACACACACACACACACACACACACACACGCGCGCGCACACTCCATACGAGGCCCGAGGTGCTAGACTTGTGTGTCTGTGTGCTTTTTTTGCGTGTGCGCGCATTGCTTTTGACTCGCGTCGCTCCATAATTATCACTTTGTGACCTGACTGTTTTGTTTTTGTTTTCCGAAACGAATGTGATTGATTTCAACGCAGGCTGGATTCATTTTTTTGACAGCTTGTAATGTTATGGAGATCAAACGCTGGATGAATTTCATTTTGAATGTCCTCGACTTGTCTGATGGTTTCATATATATATATTTTATTTTTTTTTCCGCAGTATTTTTTTTTTCTCTGTGCCCTTGTAGTAATGCTGCTACAACAGCTTACTTAGACATCCAATCCATGATATTGTTTTCCATGACAGTCTTTTCCACAAGTCACAGCGTCCCAATCGGATCTTGACCCAAATACTCTTTCAAATACAGTGGAACCTCCAAAGTCCAAAGTAAAAACCAAATTGTTGTCATTTCAAAGCATTTCTTTCCTCCCCCATCGGAAGTAATGTAGAAGTGAATTGATGAGTTCCGGTCTCAAACTGTCACCAAAGTTAACTACTGTACAACAAAAGTAAAATACTACTCACCCTTTGAAGACGCGTGACATATTTGTTGTTAGTAAGCTTCTCTTGTCATTAGCCGCTAAGATCTCAGATTCATGCTATTTTTGTTCACATCTTTTAAGTTATGTATTTAATCAACTCGCTTGTTGTTAGCCTAACAGCATAGTTGCCTCAGACATTTTTTTTTTCCGAAAAACAAGAAAAAGCACAACACACACTCAACAAACAAAAAACTTGTACGGTTGTCTCACTTTAACCGTTGCAGATGACCATGACCAGGATAACTAAAAATCTACATTGACATTGAAAAAAAAATGGTAGCGTTATTATTACTACTACTTCAAAATGTTTTGTTCAAGTATGCTACGCTAACAATGTTATGTTAAGTAGATTCTTTTCTTTGCTGCAGTGATTTTTCGTTTCCAACTTTGTGGTTGCCGAAAGCTCTTCTTTCCTTTTTTTTCGGGGGGGCGAGGGGTCCCCTTATTTGGATGTTGGACTTTGGGGGTCCCGCTCATGTGAAGACACTGTACCGTGTTGAAGAGAGCACATGTAATATGGTTATGTTTCAGACTCAAAGGCAACGATCCATCTTCCGGATTGATGCTTTTATATTGTTGCGTGCCACATGCCTCTATTGTTGTTATTACTATATGATTATTGTATATCAGATGAACACTAAAATAATAAGTGAACATAATACTTTTCTCTCATTGTTTGCCTTCCACTTAACATCAAGTTTCCATGTTCAAACATAACTCTTTTTACATCCGAGATGTTTTAGGTTCATATTTTCTAATTGTATTTTCAAAAAATTAATCTAAAGATAAAAAAAAAAAAAATGGTGAAACTAGAACATCTAATCTTTTTTTTTTCTCATGACCTGGGTACAGTGATTGTGTAGTCTAATGTACCTTTTGGGCGGGGGTGGGGGAGCGGTTGAGGGGAACAATACTGTACATTATAATGCCTTTACAGTCTTAACTATCTTACCTTCTGGAGAACTTGACAGATACCCTTAGAACACAGTGAATATGGTAAAAAAAAGTGTATATATACACACACATAACATATTTTGCAAAATGTATCATTCCAATAAAGTTTTACTTGTCAAGACGAATCTGTCCACCCTCCTGTGTACATTTCAAGCCAACAACCATTTGACCACGTCTTCGATCTGCATTAATCCTAATAGAAATGACCATCACTTCTTTAGACTGAAAATGAGGAACAACAACCTTAAAATAAAGTTTCAATTAATCAAAACCAACATTTAAATACAGTAAACAGCTACAGGTAAAATTGTATGTGCAAGTGTTGATTTCAATTTACTGTGTAATAATATCCCACAAGATCGAGCCCCGAATCTCCAAGCTAAAAATCACAAAATTTATCATTTGTCAGCCATTCTTGACTTTATGTGCAAAAAAAGTTATATCCGACTTTCTCTTTGCATTGTGTGCAATACAGCATGTGACACCGTTCAAAAAATATGCTACTAAAGTTCTTTTTGATTACTTGTTTTAGAGCAAAATGTTATTTTTGCTACGTAGTTTACTGAAATGTTTTCTTTTGTTGCATCGTGTGCAAATGCAGAACACCCCTAATATCTATTGCCCCTTTAAAAATAGTCTGTTGCATGCAGACCGAGACTTCAACTTACACCTACCCCATCCTCAAGAAATTTGTTTTTCAAGCCGCGGCAGTGCATTGAGTTGTACGATGTACAACATTGCATGAGACAGAAACACCCCAGCCCCAATGCGGTTTTCCAGCTCAGCCTTGTTGTTGTGTGTTGTGTGTTTTCCTTTAAATTGCCTTTATTTTACATCCGAACACAAGAACTTCTCGCTACGCCCCTCCAAACAAACGTCGAAATCATAACTTGGACACCCCCTCTCCTTTGTGGGCGCCTTTGGGTCCTCTTTCACGCGTCGTGCGTTCGGCGTGTGCATTCGCCGGCCTGGAGGGACGAAACTTTTAGCTGCAACTCGACCGGTCCACCTTTAGCGCGCGAGGGAGACCACGTAGAGCGAATGTGACTGTGGGGCGACAGTCAAGCTGCGCTGCTCAACCCGGAAGTGGAGTTTGCGTGCCATATCACAATCGACCATATGAGTCCAAAAAAAAAACGTTTTTATTTTGACACGAACTACCGGAAATCCGTTTATGTTCACCAAAGCATGCGAACCTTGGGCATGGAGTCGTTTAGAAAACGTCAAGTGAGAACGGAGGACGTTGTTGTACCATTTGTCTTCGGGTGTCATGTGTAAAGCAAGACACATTTTAGCTTCGCTCGACGAAATAACAGCTACTGTTTTGAGACCAAGAGGGCGAAATGAGCCAGACGTAGCTGTCGTGACAAACGCAGAAGTGCTGCGTTTCATTTCACAGTTGTAGTCATTCAAACCCGAATACATTTTCTTCGCTTTTATTTTAACACGATGTGGCGGAAATGTGCAATTACTTTTCGCTTTCGAGACCGTGAGCTGGTGAAAGTCTCACATTCGTGTCAGTGTAAAATTGTAAGCCGTCTTCGTCCTGAAATGTTATTTAAGGTACGCTTTAGTCTAAAGAGAATGCGACCATGTCCCGTCGCCCCCTCCCCACCCCCGCGTTGCTTCCAATCGTGCGGTCACGTTGGTTTTTTCACGCGCCACAAATTTGCGCCGTGTAACTTGGTCGGTCCACCTTAAGCGCACGAGGCAGACGCAGGCAGCGTCGACTGAAAAGAGCAAGCTATCCTGGCATTAGCCTGAAGTGGACTGAGCGCTACTTCACAATAAAAGTATTGTAATTACAAACTTACTCATACATGTTATTTTGAATCGACTTCCCGGAATTACGCATTTGTGTTACTTGGATTTTACAACCGGGAGTTAAAAAAACGTATCTAAAACATTGTCGATCGTCTCCGAGCGTCATGTGTCATTTAAAACACGTTGTAGCCTGACGAGTTTACAACCCCCACCCCCGCACTCTATCTTTCTTACTTGCTAAACGTACCCCCACTTTGTTAAGTCGCGCGTCGCCGTAAACTCCACCCAACAGAACGGGCGAGCGAAGAAAGGGCGGGCGAAACTTTTGGCCTGCAAATCTGCCGTTCCACCTTAAGCGCACGAGCCAGACGCAGGCAAGCGTACGGTCGAAGGTTTCCGTTTCTCGGCCGCTGCAACTAACGCACTAGAGAGGGGAGACACCCCCACCACTCCCCCATCGCCCCCCTTCCCCCCAAAAATAATAGTGTAACACATAAAGAGGAGGAAAATGTCCGACGCCAAGTACCGCGAGTGGATACTGGACACTATCGACTCGCTGCGGTCGCGAAAAGCCCGTCCGGACTTAGAGCGAATCTGCCGAATGGTCCGGCGACGCCACGGGTGCGAGCCCGACCAAACGTGCGGCGAGCTTGAGAAGCTCATACGCGAACAGACGGTGCTCAAAGTCAACTACAAGGGCTCCATTTCGTACCGGAACGCCGCCAAGGTTCAACGGAGGTGCCGCAAAAAGGACGACACCGTGACGGCGTCCTCTTCTGCGGCGGCAGCGACGGGGGCGACGACGTCTGTGGCGGCCGTGAACGACGCCAGTCACTCAGACTTGAGCAACGGGGACAGCGCGCTCGGCCCCGCGGACCCGGACGACGACGACGAGGAGGTAAGTCACGTTTCTTTCTTTCTTCTTGTATTAATTTTTACAGTTCAGTGTTTCCTTCACAGGTGGAGGGTCGAAATCAAACACGGCATCCTTTTCTAAATTACTGTTTATTAAAATTATCTCAAAGCGTCTTTAATGTGTCTTGAGCGGGGAGTGGTTTGCGAGTGTACCCAGAAAAGGAATGCCGCAAACGGGGAGCGGCGGTTGAGCGCTACCGCGGACCACAGAGGAGAGGAGGGGGGGAGAGAAGGTGCGCGTGCGAGCACGGTAACGTCCATTTCTCACTCGTTTCTGCTTAAAAGCCAACCAAACAGACTCACTAGTGGTTGTAAGCGTGTGTCTTTGAACAGAAGCAGCGTTTTGAGCTCGAAATGAGGCCAAAACTCGGCGTTCCTGGAGCTTATGGTGGGGCGTCGGTCAATTTATCCATGGATACGCGAGTCAAACCCGGAAGTGGCGTTTCACTGTTGAACCTTTGTTGTTCAAACTCATGAAAATAGCTTTTATTTTGACACATGCCGGGATGCGCGTTTGTCTTTGTAAAATGTTATAACCAAGGACTCGGCCGCAAAAGTGCCCAAAAATATAGGAGATGCGAAGATATTACGCTTTTTTCGAGCGTCATTTGTTATTTAAGGCACGTTTCAACCATGACGAGACTACAAAGCTTCCCCCCTTACTTCCAAATGTGCCATCATTTTATAATTAGTCACATTTCAGCGACTTGTGCATATACAGCATTTTCGTGCCTTGCAAGTGGCATCTGCGCCACTTTTTTGGGGAGGCCGGGGGGTGGGTAGCGTGAAGTCAAGCCATGCGTCTATTATCGGACACTGTAAAACAGTGGTTCTTGATTTAACTTTCAGCTTTTCCAGATAAAAGCGGTGGTCGGTAACTGAGAACGACATCAACAAAACGCTTGCTTGTTTGCTTGCTCGGCTGGATGGACGCGTGGCTGTACGTCCGATGTGTGTTAAGCCGCGGGCACGTCGAGTCAAAGTCCTAGCAAAAAAAAAAAAAAAACCAGAAAGGGGGGGGCGACCCAAAACACATGTTGTGGATCACCCTGATGTGAAAACTCGACGTGTCCGATAGCGGACTAGTCCAACGTCAAATTAGAGCTGCTGGCGCGTCGCTACAAAGCCAACCTCTCCCTCTCTAGCTCTCTCGCTAGCTCTCTCGCGTTTCCCCCCCACCTTCCCCCAAAACGCCCTCATCGTTCGCACCACGCACGCACAATGGCGAGACGTTCAAACTGCGTGCGCACTTCGGCGGAAATGTGCGCATGCAGAAACCTCCTCCCATCGGCACTTTGTGGGTTGTCTCTTGTGATGTAGCGATTAAAATGAATGCATCCACCGACGAGGATCATCACATCGGCGTGTGTTTGCAATGCCACGCGATTCTAAGTTGGTGTTTTCGCAGGGGCGTTTGTGAAAGTTGCGTGAAATGCGGCGGCGAGGAGGAGGAGTGGGGGAGGCGTTGCGCGCTCCACGACACGCAGCAGCTTAGCTTGCTTACGAACCGCCCCGTCGAAGAAGAAACGTCCTCTCAACTCGTTTCCCCTCCTCTTTCTTCAAAGTTGCGGTACTTCTGAGTCAGTACTAATGATTTACAACCACGGAGGTCAAATTGCGACATGTGCACGAACATTTTTCAGAATTCAGACGCGTTCTGACAGCCAGCCCCCTGCAGTCGTGTCAACAATCCTTTCGGGTTGAAAGCACTCGGGACGAACAGGATTTTCTTTCATGACGTGCACAATTCAACCAGGAATTGCCGGTGCTGTTCATGTTTCGGAGACGGGAAGTAATACTCAAATCGACAGAACAACTCAACTTTTATCTTTTGAGTGCGACGTTTTACATGAGTAAACTCATGTTTAGTAAAATGTATTGACACTGTTAATTTCTACGGTTCAAGCTAATGTGCTCGATAGCACACATTCAAAAATCGCACTGCGGGACTTATTGTGGAAAAATTATTTTCCAATGTTGTACAAAGAAGAATCATTTATGTGTGTTGAATTGCAAAATTAATGTGTGTAAAAAGCATCACAACATAACCGTCACTAGATTCCAAGTGACATGATTTTACTTTAATGTTTTTGCATCACAAATTTGATATTTAATGACGACCGGTAGTAAGAAGTTTGGCAAGAAAAAAAAAAGAGAAATGCACTCTACTAAATAATTAATGACAATGCAAACCCTCTGAGAAATTGTATGACAAGAGATGCTATTCAATCAATCAGTCAATTTGAGAGCAATATCTGTTTTTCACAGGTGATCTCGCCAAGAAGCCTCGGCACAATTTATGTCATGACAGTACAGAATAGAATGTACACAGAACAGAACACGATATATAGTACCGGATGAAAGTATACATAAAAGAGCAGAGTTCACTTATAAACCAGAGAACTATCTGCTTAGACCACTATCCACCCGGAATGGACGGCTCCTACCTAATGTCTGACTCTTGAATTACACCCAAAATTAAAGGGCGGAAGAACAAAACTTATTTAAACTGAAAGAAAAAAAAAAATCAGTGAACTAGAGGGACCGCAAACTGGGAGCACGTGATGGATGGGGTTTTACTGTGTGAAACAGCATATCCTGGCAATCCCGACAACTCTTGTAAGATTTACCGGTATAATAATCACTACAGAATGCCGTCCCCCCTCATAATTTGTCTTCATGTATACACTGTTCACTCTTCCAGGCCGACACCTCCATGGCTATGGACACAGACAGCAACATGGACGAGGAGGGCGGCGACGAGAGCCGGGACGGCCAGGACGGACCCTCCCCCGGCCCTGTGTGCATGGCGACGCCGGTTGTATTGCGAGCGGCGTCCGCACCCTGCTCGCCCTCTCATGCTCGGCCTGGGCCCGGCCCGGGTCCTAGTCCTGCCCCCGCCTCTGGTCTGGACTGTGTCATCTCTTTTCAAATGGCCGCCGCCAGGCCCAGCTCCCTGTCCCCCACAAGCCCCAGGACCCTCACACATCACGACTGGGCCAACGGGGTCACCGGCTGCCCAGTGGAGCGCCCGGAGAAGGGAATCCACCTAGACAAAGGTAACGCGACAAGAATACACCTTGTTTGAAGCGGATCCAACTCAAATCATCTCTTCATGTTGAAATTAATGGAGATGCAATTTATCCATAATGAGCCACTCCATAACGTTGTACAGTCAGACCGGATCGGACTAACCTGTGTACAGCAAAATGTGTGTATAATTGACACCTAGTGGGGGCGAAAAAACAAAACTGAAAATTTCTTCAAAAAAGGTGATCAACATTCTCAGTATGTTTTCCATTAAAAAAAAAACATCCAGAAAAAAAATATACGTTGAAAAGCAATCCGGGACAAAAAAAATCTGTGACTATGCAAATCCACGGGTGCCGAATTGTGAGTGTCTGAGGGGCGGGGGTTGATTGTACTATACTAGAAACATCGTCATGATGATATAATTAAATAGAATTGATTATAATTGAGGAATTTTTGTCACACTGCATCATTTGAATGCTGCTCCTTCTGATGTGCCCACCTTGGCCACTTGGGGGCAGTAAAAACATGTCCTGCCTCGAACTCCAGCGGGATCTATAATCGCATCCAAAACTCCTCATGTGTGGCACTTATATTAGTCGTTCTATGCCGAGGATAAAGATTAGATGACTGTGAGTACAGTCTTTCCTTGTGTTCCTGTACCGTTTGTGTCTAAGCTGTTGAAAAAAGGATGGGCAGCCATTACATAGATTCTGGTTCATGTTTAAATTAAGGTCATGGGGGCTTTCTTTCGGGAGTTATTAAATTTTAATTTTTTTTTTTGGGGTGGGGGTGTGAATTGTTCAGTATTTGCTGCTCATCGAAAAGCGTGTCGAATTTAGTTCACATTGAGTCGCTTGACTCTCAAGGTACCACAGTATATGGACAAAATGAAGAGGTGTTTGCACATACATGACTTGCTCCCGGCTCTGTTATTAGCGTGTGAAGCGACAGTCCACCCCGTACCCGTCTGCCCGAGCGCTCCCATGAACAACAATGTGAAGGAGGAGGTCAAGATGGAGGACAGCAGCCCCCTCTTGGACCAGCTGGTACCGGACTACGCCGTGCAACTGGTGAAGAGCGTGGCCCCGTTTCGGCCGTTCATTTGCTGTTTCCTGCTTGTCGCGACTTGACGCTCTCCGTGTTTTATTTCTCCCGTCCCGCAGGAGAGGAGCGGCGACGCGTCCCAGGTTCAAGCACAGACGCTGTCATCGTCGGGCGACTGTGAGTTTCGCAAAAATCGAGCAAATTGCGCATCATGATCATTTCATTGTGGCATCTTCTGATGTGTGCCACTTAGCCACTGGGGGGCAGTACACTGCACGTATGAAAACACCAACACAAGATCTCTCACATTCTTGCTCAATGTGTATTCAGTGTCACAACTTGTATGCACATCAATTGCCATTCGACACGTTAGCTGTTTTTCTTCAGCTTTCTAATTTTTTTTTGGAACGTGGGAAGCCAAAATCACAATCAAGCTCTATGTTGCATCAACAGGCACTCCAAAGAAAAACGCGGACGCGCTCATCTCCTTGGAGCAAGCCGAGACCGTTCACGTGAACGGCGACGATAAAAGTGACGACCTGTAAGTCAAGCTTCCACTGTCGCCTTTCTCAAAATGTGTCGAAATAAAATCTATGTCTTCCTTCTTTGGTAGCAGCCCAGCGAAGAAAGCGAACATGAGTCAGAACTTGCTGCAGTGGACGGTGGCCGACGTGGCCAGTTACTTTGTTGACGCCGGCTTTCCAGAGCAGGCGCTGGCCTTCAGGACACAGGTGGGTGCTCCTGCTCGTATGTTTATCATAATAGTTTGTATTATTATTTAAAATATTATTTTTGAAAAATCCCCAAAATATGAAGGATATAACAATTATTTTTTTAATAAAATACATCATAAATTATTTTAAAATAGTAATCAAGATTTAAATTAAAAATGAAAATTGAATGACTTTTTCATGTTTGTATTTTTTTATATTTATGTACTATAATAAAACTGCGTTTACTAATGTTACATATATTTTATACCATTTTGTTATTGATCAGAATGACAAAAACAGAATATAATTTAATAATTCCAAATTTAACAATTTCTTTTTCATACATTATAAATCTTTTTTTTTTTTTTTTTTTTTTAATGTTTTCCACTTTTGAAAGGACTGACCCTCTCCCACAAAGGTCAAGGTTATCCTTAGCTACAAGTCGCGTCATGCTTGCCATCCCTAACGCCACGTCGCGCATCCGTCCTACAGGAGATCGACGGCAAGTCGCTGCTGCTCATGCAGCGTAGCGACGTCCTGACCGGCCTCTCCATCCGACTGGGCCCTGCACTCAAAATCTACGAGCGTCACATCAAAGTGCTGCAAAGGAGCCACTTCCTGGAGTGCGACGACCTCTGATGGAATGTGCTGACTGTGACTGTGAAAAAGAAAGAGAAAAAAAACAAAAAACAAACAAAAAAAAAACTCTTCCACTAGGATCCCGCCACACGACATGGCATATAGTCTCTCGATGTATGAAGAAAGACGCATGGAGGAAAAGAAAGGACCAGTGACAAAGCAATCATCCTACCTCTCATGATCCTCATTTCCTCCCCGTGCAAAAGGAGCAGTGGCCCTTTAAGAAAAGCCACACGTGCACTTCCTGTGGAGTTCCCGACTGCGATGCGCTCGCCTCCGACTCTTCGCTCCCACCAAAGTCTCGCAGGTAAAACAAACCGCGCGCGCGTTCCAACGTGCATGCATCGCAGTTCCTGGCGTAGCTGCTAACGCGTGACGTTCCGCGTTCATCTCTGTCGTTATGTACCTCGTCGGTTTGCGTTGTGAGCGGCGACACGCGTGGTCGATATTCAATCGACAAATGGGCAATGTTGAAATTTTAAAGGTCAACCCGTTGGACCACATGCAATATTTTCTGTGTTAGTCGTTTGCCGCTTTGTGTTGTAATACAAGTCCATCCATTTGAAGTGTGTAACATTCCACTGGGTGTCGTCGTTTTTTTTTGTTAGGGTTTTTTTTTTTGTTTTGTTTTGTTTAATCAATCAGTTCCATACTTCCGACAAGAGTCACCAATAAAGTTCACGCCTGTTTGACTTATTCGTTTAATTTTTTTGGGTGGAAAAAAAGAGACGTACACACCGTACATTCGACGAAGCATCAACACCATGCTTCTAACATGAACACAATCAGGAATCCATGTTACATAAACTGAGTTTATTCAGCAGTTAAATTACTAATGCAAAAAAAAAAAAAACACCTTTATGATGCTCTTCAAAAGTATTATCTCGCATACCAGCCCACACATAGGATAAGAAATATGTACACTAGCACCTTATATAAACACTCATAATTGCTGTATTGAGAGATCAACACAGTCATAGTCTAGTATCCCCCCTACACACAAAAAAAAATAGTGAATAAGCAAATTTGAAAATGCCAAACCACGTTCTATGCAGGGCTTCACTGTGATTGTGAAAATTAGATTCAATCATAGGCACATGGTCATGAATAGACGGATCACAAAATATTTACTTGGTTGTTTAATTTCACTCCTGATGGGTGGGCAGGCGACTATTTGTATGCAAGCAATTAACTGTCCCATTACATTTTTTTTTTGTTTGTTTTTTGTTTTCCTGACAAAAGCAGCAGTCAATCTTTCAAAACCAAGCAAAGTAGCAAAAAACAACAACAAAAATCCCAAGTTAAGACTTTAAAGCAGTCAAACATGTGCTTGTAATGTCAAATAGGGCTGAACAACTAATCATCTTCAAATCAACATCGTAATGTAGCCGAATGCAATTTTCAAAATTAAAAAAAAAAGTATATCATCCCTGGATAGGTTCGGTGCTTAAGCAGTGCAGTCCGCAGATATACATGAAAAATTGAAGTGAGAAAGCCACAAATTAGTTTCCATTTGATTTAGGACTTACCCGCTTAGGTTAACGCTACACTTTTTGGGTTGAATTTTGTTGTCGTAGTGAACGCTTAAAATACTGCAAGTCAAAGTATTTACTCAACCAACAACTCGAATTGAGGTCGAAAAATTGCCTTTCATATTAATTCACAGTTCGTCTGTCTTTATTGTAGCATAAGCCTCACCTACGAGACCAAAATATTGATGGAAAACAAATTTGACATTGTTCAGTGTAGTCAAGATGAAAAATAAAAAAATAGAAGAAGAAGTCCTTTAAAAAAAATAATTAAACTGAATATTGAGGGGAACAACAAAAAAAAAATTAAATTATTTTTCAAAATGGTTCAGCCCTATGTGTTACAATAACATTTTGCATCGAATTATTATATATACATATTTTTTTATTTTTTGTAGACCTTTCATATGGCACTGGGAGCACATGTACAAAAAAAATGGCCCCTGATAGGGGGGGGGGGGGAGATTCCCCCGCCCCCAACATCCATGTGGTGTTCTAAAGGATGAAAGGCAGTATGGGGGAGCGTAGGGTGGGATAGTCCTTGAACTCCTTCAAGTAGGCTCGGTGTTTGCCTCGGGCCCACACGCTCATCTGCACAAAAGCGGCCAGCGTGAAGAGCGCCACGGGCAGGCACTGCGTCATCACGCTGAAGCCCAGCCACGAGCCCACCTAAACACGCACACGTTGATGTCACGTTCTCCCTTCACTGTGTATTAATTGACTACTTGTCACCACTGACTATATATAATCATTTGTTCATTAAAATATGTAGTCATTGTCCAAAAGAAAAAAAAAAATTGCATCGCTCCAGTATTTAGAGAAAAACAACAAGTGGAGTTCTTTGTTTTTCATTGGTTCTTACCTCATAAGTGTAGTTTGGACAAGACACCAGCCAGAAAATCCATGTGAAGGGATTTTTTGTCGGGTAAGGAAACTTCTTAACTTTTGAACCTGAGATGACAGGAAACATTGTTTTCAACTTGAACCCAACTATTCCGGATAAGTGTTGTAAGATGAAATACCTGGCTGCTTGAGGTTACGAAGGGCCACGTGGATCGAAAAATTCCCAACTTGGCAAAACTGCGTGCATACAAAAAAAATCCCCCAAACATCCAAGCATGAGTACTTTGTTCGATTCACCGCAGGGATTTTAGTATTAAACCTACCAAGAAAATATAAAGTCCAAGATTCACCTGCTGCTGCCCGTAAACTAAAAATAAAAAACCGAAAAGATGGAATGATGCAATGTGAACTAACAGAGGAACAAACTTGAGTGACCACAAGTGAGGCTGCACTTACGTGGTGGCGTGTAGAGCGGGTGGTTGATGTAATACGCCATCCAGGCTGCGGCGCACCAGTAAAATCCACAATTCTGCAACCATTGCCATTTAAACTTGGTGAACGATTCTCCCTTTTAGATTTGGACTACTACACAATTCATTCAAATTCAAATTCGGCATCGCGACGGGTCATTTTCAAATGTGGCGGAGTCACCTTAAATATATTCCGGAGGGGCATGGTCCCGTGCGAGATGCGGTGAACAAACATCGTCTCCAGAATCCTCTTGATGTAATGCGAAGAGTGACAGAGGCAAGCAGAACTGTGCGAGAAAAGACTTTTTTTTTTTTTCTGATTTAAATTCTTATTGATTAAAAATCAATAAGGGGGAGGAGGGGAGGAATAGAAATACACTGACTGTACGACCCAGTTCTCGCTGGCGGTGAAATCGTGTTTTGGAGCATAGATGAAAGGGAGGCGGAAGTAGAACATTAAATAGATGACCAGCGGACCCACGCACTCTGCAAGGAACACCTGTCAGGCAAACAGTGTTATTGATACAGGGGAGCACCTTGGACAGATAGAGGCCACAAAATGCGCTACCGGACATAAGAACATCACGTGTCCAACAATTCAGTGTTTTCGTATGTTTGCTAAAAATGAGCATTTAGTCCAAGTCTCTCTTCCGAAAGCTAGCTCTCGCGTCCTTAAACGTTTTGCTCTTGACTTGTTCTTCCATCCATCCATCCATCCATTTTCTCTTCCGCTTTATCCTCACAAGGGTCGCGGCGGGGCTGGAGCCTATCGCAGTCGTCTTCGGGCAGTAGGCAAGGGTCACACCCTGAGCCGGTCGCCAGCCAATCGCAGGGCACACAGAGACGAACAACCATTCATGCTCAAAATCACACCTAGCAACAATTTAGCGTGTTCCATTAATCTGCTATGTATGTTTTTTGGAATGTGGGAGGAAACCGGAATACCCGGAGAAAACCCACGCAGGCCCGGGGAGAACATGCAAACTCCACAGAGGAAAGCCGGAACCGGAATCGAACCCACAACATCCGCACTGTGAGGTCGACGCGCTAACCACTGGCCCACGGGGCCGCCCTGACTTGTTCTTGTCATCTCAAAATGATGATCTTGACTTGGTCTCAAAGTCTTGAACCTTTGCTGTCCAGTTTTGTTTGAGATGGTCTCAACCTTTCAAAGTCTTGTTTTTTTTCGAAACCTCATCGACCGCCAACATCTCTGATATCCACAAACTCAATAGAGTCCTTGCACTAAAATAGTTGCTTATGAGGGTGTAAGGAGAGGGAGCAAATGTGGAGGCAACAACGTGGCACAGTGAGGGAGACAAGAGCCCCGGATACTGGGGGACGGGGGGGGGATAAACACCTTGGAAAGAAATGGGGCCATGAGATTAGATGTCCTGAGATAGATGGACACTGTGGGAGGTGAGAGGAAAACACACGACCGCAAATGGACTTTTAGGTGTCGGACCGTGCGTGCGCTACAGGAAGCTGCTGAGTGGGGAGACAAAGTGACTCCTTGGATTTGATGTTCCGGAATATACAGTGGTGGACTTTTCATTTGGTACCTGGGCCTTGGGAGGAGATTTACCCAATTTAATACTTCTCTTAACACCACCACTGTCACCGCACGATTATAGAAACCATCAGTAGTAGACAAAAAAACAATATAACGGCAGTCGCAGTATGTGGGGGGGGGGGGGGGAACTGCTGACGTCATCGAGAGCCAGCGCTCCGAACCGGTGAGGATCAAGTTGAAATCTGATTGGTTAAAGAACCAGTCCCACTGCTAATATCGGTTAGTTACATCTGCCAGCAATACCTTTTATCGATTTATTTTTAGAATTGTATTAATGCACAGCGGCCCGGTGGTCCAGTGGTTTGCGCTTCGACATCACAGTGCAGAGGTACCGGGTTCAATTCCAGCTCCGGCCTTCCTGTGTGGAGTTTGCATGTTCTCCCCGGTGGGTTTTCTCCGGGTACTCCGGTTTCCTCCCACATTCCAAAAACACGCATGGCAGGCTGATTGAACACTCGAAATTGTCCCGAGGTGTGAGTGTAAGCGCGGATGGTTGTTCGTCTCTGTGTGCCCTGCGATTGGCTGGCAACCGCTTCAGGGTGTGCCTCGCTTACCGCCCAAAGACAGCTGGGACAGTCTCCAGCACTCCCCGCGACCCTTGTGAGGATGGATCGGAAAATGGATGGATGGATGGTATTAATGCACATCTGGGGCGATATTTAATTAACCCTTTCAGGGACAGTGGTTACTACAGTGGACCAACTTCTCATGTGTTCAGGTTACAGGGTGCAGGAAAGGGTTCAACACAATCGCCAGCGCTGTGTCTGTGTCTGTCGTGAGCTCACAGTCCCCCATGTTAGTTGTGGTCCAAGGTCACTGAAGTAGAAGCTGGCCGTGGTTCCCACAGGAAGTGTTTGAAGGACTTCCTCATCCCGGAGACACTTTGTTTCTAAGAAAAAGAAAACGCCATCTAATGAAGATCTGGCTCGAGATGACCTCCTATACTATTAGAACATGAGCTGATGCACCGACTCGGATCCAAGCGCAGAGATTGTCTCGCCGGGTACCACTTGGGATCTGTCAAAATGGACACGCCCGTAGTGAGACGTTGACCGGTTGTCCTTTTTCGTCAGTTTTTAAGCATACGTACATGATTTGTGAAACAAAGCTTTAATATCCAAAATGGTGGAAGTCGGTTCCACCTGAAATCACAATGGAAACAAAACGTTGGCGGTAGTCACAGCAATGCAGTCACATAATTAGCATTTGTAGCGTTGTCACATTAAGTGTTGTAGTCGGACATCAGGAGGGGGAGGATGGAGGAGTCGTCTCAGCCCAAAATTTTAGTCTTGACTTGGTTTTAGGCCCTCAAAGTCCTGGTCCTTGGCTCCTGAAAGCTTTGGTCTCGACTCGTTTCATCCCTCAAAGTCTTGGTCTTACCTTGGTCTCACCTCTTTAAAGACTTGAATTCTTTACATCGTCCATAATTTTGGGCTGGACTTCGCCGGGGATAGTCAAAAGCGTTCATATCGTTTTGGGATTAATCCTTCAAAGTCTTCACTTTGAATTTGTATGAGCGCCTTAAAGGCTTGGTCTTCATTTGGTTTTAATCCCCTGAAGTCTTGGTGTTGAATAAGTCTCAGCCCCTTAAAGTTTTGGCCTCTTCTCAGTCTCGGCTCCCTTGAATCTTGCTTCTGACTTCATCATATCCTCTCAAAGTCTTGGTCTTGACTTTGTCTTGGCTCCTCAAAATCTTAGTCTTGACTACAACCTTAGTATGTAGCCTGGCAGTCTTCATTCGTGTCTTTCTTTCAACTCGTGGACATCTTCGACATACTGTTCCGCTGCTGTCATATTTAGCGCACAGCACTTTGCCCAAAATGACATACCGAATGCAACCATGAAAGCCATCTTGGGAGGTGCCAAACAGGAATCATAAAACCTCGAATGTACTTTACATTCTTCAACTGTCTTAGTTGTGTAAGGTTGAGGACTTCAATCATCTGCGGTCACGATACATGATTTCACAATATTTCATAATTCTAAAATAAAACAACAAAAGTAGATACTGGCCAAAACTCTTCTTACCTTGTCCAACAGGAGCAGTTTCTCTTTAGTCTTCACATCTATAATCTCCACTTCAAAGTAAACAATCCTTTTGGGCTTTTTGGGTGGTTTGGGTTTGGGTCTGGGTCTGGATGAAGACTTCTTCTCGGACTCTGAACCGTTCACATTCTTTGCCTCTAAAGCGAGGACATCCATGATTCCCAAAAGTCGGCCGGTGGAACAACCTCCGGCGCTACTGATCTGTGAGTCTGGCGCGAGTGCTGCGTGAGTAGCCTTTCACTCCCGGAGGAAGACGATGGAGGACTGCAATTATTTTCGCGGATTTGTGTGCTTAGCGGGGAGCCAAAAAAAAATGTCTGGTGCGGAAGAACATGACACTGAGCCTCACCTGAATAGCTTGGACCGCAACCTCTGTCATGTTTGGCAGAGTCGCTGAAGACGAAACCGGAGAGCCACAAGACATAATCCACAGAGCGTCATTTGCGAGGCTAAATATAAGCCGCCTGATTTGCTCTTTATACAGCAGCTCGGTCATAACCTTGGGAGGACGCATACAGTACACAGTCGAGCCAGTGACAAATACCGACGCGTGGTCCTTGGACACGGGTCAACTGTCAACGACTTCAGAAGACATTGCTCCTGTCTGCTCTGATTCTGGCTCGAGCAGGCCTGCTTTCAAGTCCGATCTGGTGCGATGAAGACCCTCCACATGCCAACATACAGATTACCCCCCCCCCCCCCCCCCCTACACAGTCGAGCCAGTGACAAATACCGACGCGTGGTCCTTGGACACGGGTCAACTGTCAACTACTTCAGAAGACATTGCTCCTGTCTGCTCTGATTCTGGCTCGAGCAGGCCTGCTTTCAAGTCCGATCTGGTGCGATGAAGACCCTCCACATGCCAACATACAGATTACCCCCCCCGCCCCCCTTATAGGAGTGAGTTTTTATAAACATACATTCGTGGAGCGATTAACAGCGCATAGCTGGGGAAAATACCCATCAATAAGTGAAATCGCGAACGTTAAACCGCGAATATGCAGGGGTCCATTGTGTTAAAAAAAAAAAAAAAAAAGATGAATACAATGTCAAACAGATAAAGAGCCACCCTATCATATAACAGCGCCCGATTGTTTCAGGTAAACGAGAAAAAAAGGGAGGAAAAGTAGTAAAATACGACATATGCCACATACCCATTCGCTTGAGTTAATAATGAAAAGAAGACAGTGTGACGATTGAAAAAGAAATATTTTTCTTAAAATTGGGGTTTATCCCACTTCCTGGTTTTCGCGCAAACCCGGAAGTGACCAGAGGTAATCATCTCACCACGCCGCTTATCTCACACATACGTCAGAACCGCCAGCTTCTTCCAGAAGTTTCCTCTCTGCGGTTGGCGGTCTGCCTCGGCTGCCCCGGCCGGCTAGTCATCCGTATCTCGGGCAAAGTCCTGGTCCTTGGCTCCTGAAAGCTTTGGTCTCGACTCGTTTCATCCCTCAAAGTCTTGGTCTTACCTTGGTCTCACCTCTTTAAAGACTTGAATTCTTTACATCGTCCATAATTTTGGGCTGGACTTCGCCGGGGATAGTCAAAAGCGTTCATATCGTTTTGGGATTAATCCTTCAAAGTCTTCACTTTGAATTTGTATGAGCGCCTTAAAGGCTTGGTCTTCATTTGGTTTTAATCCCCTGAAGTCTTGGTGTTGAATAAGTCTCAGCCCCTTAAAGTTTTGGCCTCTTCTCAGTCTCGGCTCCCTTGAATCTTGCTTCTGACTTCATCATATCCTCTCAAAGTCTTGGTCTTGACTTTGTCTTGGCTCCTCAAAATCTTAGTCTTGACTACAACCTTAGTATGTAGCCTGGCAGTCTTCATTCGTGTCTTTCTTTCAACTCGTGGACATCTTCGACATACTGTTCCGCTGCTGTCATATTTAGCGCACAGCACTTTGCCCAAAATGACATACCGAATGCAACCATGAAAGCCATCTTGGGAGGTGCCAAACAGGAATCATAAAACCTCGAATGTACTTTACATTCTTCAACTGTCTTAGTTGTGTAAGGTTGAGGACTTCAATCATCTGCGGTCACGATACATGATTTCACAATATTTCATAATTCTAAAATAAAACAACAAAAGTAGATACTGGCCAAAACTCTTCTTACCTTGTCCAACAGGAGCAGTTTCTCTTTAGTCTTCACATCTATAATCTCCACTTCAAAGTAAACAATCCTTTTGGGCTTTTTGGGTGGTTTGGGTTTGGGTCTGGGTCTGGATGAAGACTTCTTCTCGGACTCTGAACCGTTCACATTCTTTGCCTCTAAAGCGAGGACATCCATGATTCCCAAAAGTCGGCCGGTGGAACAACCTCCGGCGCTACTGATCTGTGAGTCTGGCGCGAGTGCTGCGTGAGTAGCCTTTCACTCCCGGAGGAAGACGATGGAGGACTGCAATTATTTTCGCGGATTTGTGTGCTTAGCGGGGAGCCAAAAAAAAATGTCTGGTGCGGAAGAACATGACACTGAGCCTCACCTGAATAGCTTGGACCGCAACCTCTGTCATGTTTGGCAGAGTCGCTGAAGACGAAACCGGAGAGCCACAAGACATAATCCACAGAGCGTCATTTGCGAGGCTAAATATAAGCCGCCTGATTTGCTCTTTATACAGCAGCTCGGTCATAACCTTGGGAGGACGCATACAGTACACAGTCGAGCCAGTGACAAATACCGACGCGTGGTCCTTGGACACGGGTCAACTGTCAACGACTTCAGAAGACATTGCTCCTGTCTGCTCTGATTCTGGCTCGAGCAGGCCTGCTTTCAAGTCCGGTCTGGTGCGATGAAGACCCTCCACATGCCAACATACAGCACACACACACACGCACACACACACACACACACACACACACACACACACTTCTTACTCCCTCCTTTAACCGCGGGAACACCCGTTTACCCATTCTTTCTCACTCTTGACCACCAATGTCCCATTAATAATGTCCCCTATGCAGATCACCCATGCTGATTTCACATTAGGAACAAGCAAGGCAAGGCTCCAAAATGTCCAGTAGAAATTATAGGAGTGAGTTTTTATAAACATACATTCGTGGAGCGATTAACAGCGCATAGCTGGGGAAAATACCCATCAATAAGTGAAATCGCGAACGTTAAACCGCGAATATGCAGGGGTCCATTGTGTTAAAAAAAAAAAAAAGATGAATACAATGTCAAACAGATAAAGAGCCACCCTATCATATAACAGCGCCTGATTGTTTCAGGTAAACGAGAAAAAAAGGGAGGAAAAGTAGTAAAATACGACATATGCCACATACCCATTCGCTTGAGTTAATAATGAAAAGAAGACAGTGTGACGATTGAAAAAGAAATATTTTTCTTAAAATTGGGGTTTATCCCACTTCCTGGTTTTCGCGCAAACCCGGAAGTGACCAGAGGTAATCATCTCACCACGCCGCTTATCTCACACATACGTCAGAACCGCCAGCTTCTTCCAGAAGTTTCCTCTCTGCGGTTGGCGGTCTGCCTCGGCTGCCCCTGCAGTCTAGTCATCGATATCTCGGTCGACACGCGGGTCTGACGTCTGTTCGTTCCATCTGGGTGACACTTGCCTCTTCGTCTTTGGCATGGAGTGGAAAGTCGTATCGAAGTGAGTGGTCAGTCTAACAACCCTTTACCTGGAACTAGCTAGGAGGCTACCGAGGACCAAGTGCCGTTGAAGCCCATGCAGGCGGCGGCTCCTGTTGGAATGTCTGGTTTTCTCGAGACGTGGCCGAAGAAGTGAGTAAGTCTTTGCGATGGGTAAAGACTACTACAAGGTGCTGGGAATAGCCAAGGGTGCGTCGGAAGACGAAATCAAGAAGGCGTACAGGAAGCAGGCCCTCCGCTATCACCCGGACAAGAACAAGTCCGCTGGTGCTGAGGACAAATTTAAGGAGATAGCAGAAGCCTACGACGTCCTCAGCGACGCCAAGAAGAAAGACATTTACGACCGATATGGCGAAGAAGGTACACGACCCCCGTTTCTTCACCTCAATCTCATCATTAATTGGTCAACAGTGTCCATCAATGTCACCGCTGCCGCTTGAGAACTTTCTAGAATGAACCAGAAGCCCACCGACGGTTGTCGCTTAACCAACTGTAATAGTTTAAAAGCGTAGTTTGTCCACAGTAAATGTTGAGAAGAAATGGCAAATAATGACCGAATAATGACGTAATTCCTATGACGTAATGTGCATACGATAGCCCGCCACCAACGAATCTAAAGTTTCAATTCATGAATATGTCTTTGCTGTTGTGATGAAATGGATGTGCACACAATAGAAGTGACAAAAAAGCTGTTTGTATATGGACGGGTTGCCTGTGCTGTAATATGTGACTGCATAAATCTCAGGAAAAGCTTACTAAAACATCTGAAGTCAGTTGTGGACCGAATCCGTTTATCTTGATGAGTTTAAGTGGGATTGCTTCACAGAACCATATGAACAGGGGTGTGTAGACTTTTCATATGTCAGTTTCACAAGCCATTGAAGATTTACAAACTATTTAAATCAGGGATGCAACTGCACTTTATCAATATTTTTTGGTGGTGCAGATTCTGAAACTGTCGTTTTTTTTCTCTTGTCCATCAGGTTTTCATAATCATAAGTGAGGATAGCGGGCTTGGAAAATGGTTGGAATAACATTAATGTCATATGTAATATCACTCGTTCATTTGTGTTCCAAACTGCTTAGTAGTATAATTCGTCATAAATACGAATTAAGGATCAGGTTCAACAACTGGTGGATTTTTTCCCCCCCCAGAAACGTCATAGCTATAAATTACAATGCATGGTATAATTCTTATTTGCAAACTTATGTAGGTCAAACTTGACATAAAAATATTAAAAACTGATGTGCTATAAAAAAAGCCACAGACATTTTTTAAATTAGCGTCAAAATATGTCTAGGGACATATTAAGCCATGTCTGATTAAAATTGCAAATGCTGTTGACCAGTGTGAGTTGCCTTGGCTCAATATAAGTTGGGAAACACTGATTTTGATGACTTTCTGTTTTAGGGCTTAAGGGCTCCGCTGTCGGTGGTGGCGGGGGCCACAGCGGCTCCACATACAACTACACCTTCCACGGCGACCCCCACGCCATGTTCGCCGAGTTCTTCGGCGGCCGCAGCCCCTTCGACCACTTCTTCTCACAGAACGGTGGCGACGACACGGTGGACGCCGCCGACCCCTTTGCCGCCTTCGGGATGGGCGGCTTCCAGCGGCCCTTCAAGTCGCACCTGGGTGGCCCCCACGTCACCCGCGAAAGGCAGAAGGACCCGCCGGTGGTGCACGAGCTGAAAGTGAGCCTGGAGGAGGTCTTCGCCGGCTGCACCAAGAAGATGAAGATCTCCCGGAAGAGGCTGAACCCCGACGGGCGAACCACGCGTAGTGAGGACAAGATTTTGTCGGTGGACATCAAGCGCGGCTGGAAAGAGGGAACCAAGATCACCTTCCCCCGCGAGGGCGACGAGACCCCCACTAACATTCCCGCCGACGTGGTGTTTGTCGTGAAAGACAAACCTCACCCCGTGTTCAGGAGGGAGGGCTCCGATATTATTTACCCTGCCAAAATATCACTTCGTGACGTAAGTACCTGTGCTATACTTCAAGTGGGCATTTCATTAGGTATACATGCAGCATTAGATTTAATTCTTGCACTACTCCTGTTTCAATGTGAAATTATTATTAGTTTCAGAAAACGTTCGTGCTCAATTCTGACATTTTTTATTGTAAAATTGTGGCGTCTGAAAATGCAATATTTTACCGTGACGTAAGTACCTGTGCTATACTTACAATACAAGTGGGCATTTCATTAGGTATACATGCAGCACCGGAGCTTTTTTGTTTTTTTCCCCTCATAAGATTTACATTATTGCACTACTCCTGTTTCAATGTGAAATTCATAGTTTCAGGAAACGTTCGTGCTCAATCCTGACATTTTTTCTTGTAAAATTGTGGCGTCTGAAAATGCAATATTTTAATTGAAGGTATAACAAATAAAAGTAGTAATACAGTCAACCGAAGTGCATGTATTGTCACGAATGATGAATAATAACACTGTTTTTGAGGTGAGGTGCTTATTAATTTTTTTTGCATCGATTTGTGTTTAAGGCCCTGTGCGGGTGCACGGTCAGCGCACCGACGCTTGACGGTCGCACCATCACGGTGACGTCGCGCGACGTGGTGAAGCCGGGCACCAAGAAGCGCATTGCCGGCGAGGGCCTGCCACTGTCCAAGTGGCCCGACAAGCGAGGTGACATGATCCTGGACTTCTGCGTCAAGTTCCCCGACAAGCTGGGCCAAAACACACGCGACGCTCTCAGGCAGGTCCTCCCGCCGTGATGCGGGCCCGCGCCACACAGAACACTACTTCCTCCGCGTTGTTCTTCAGGGTGCTGTGACTTGGAAACTTAACCTGGTCTGTCGATGACTCAGGGCTGCTTTGCTTTGACTTTAGTCAAAACTCCCAAAACGTCTTAAACGTAAGACCATAGAAGTGATTTATTCAAGGACATTTTTTTGGGGGGGGCGGGGCGAGTGTGAACCAACACTGCCAGAGTTTGGGATCCTTTTATCTCATACATGTCTTTTATTAGCACAGACTAACACTTAACACTCTGCAGAGTGAAAACCAGTAATTGTGCTTGGATGCTATGGAGTATTCAGGTCGCCCCGATAGTCATAATATTACAAGACAAATGGCGTGATGATGCAAAAAAAGGAAAAAAGAAAATGCATTCCACGTTTTGTGGAGAATATTACACCATAAAACAACCAAACGGTTTATTTTATTTAAAAAAAAATGAAGTTATAATTTTACCATGTAAATTATTATGCTGCTCTTTGACTCCCATCTCGGAAAACACTCTGACAGTATTTCAAGAAGCCCCGCCCCCTACCACCATCTACATTTCTCGAGTGCCCATTTGGCGTTCACGTGACGTGGGCGACTCCACTTCCTGAGGTGCTAGCGCCGCATAAATGAACTGTACCGCCGATGTGGCACCGTGAGCTGCGTCTCACCATCGCTGACCTCATGTGAACTATCATAAGAGCATGTTTGAATTTTTTTTTTTTTTTTTTTTTTGAGAGGGGAGTGCACTTTCAAGGAAGGAAAAAAAGCGTTTGATTTTCCCCTGCTGCGTCATACAAATGTCATATGAATTGTAATCTCTTCTTGGCTTGGGTCCTTCTAATGTCTTCCTTGGCTTTGATTTGTTTACATCATACAGTGGATATGAAAAAAAGTCTACCTACCTGATTCATTTTGGGCCCGGTAACAAACTACATGACTGAAAAAAAACAACAAACAAAAAAAACACTAAAAAGGAAAAAGCTTTATCAATAAAGATGTGAATTACAGGCAGAACATTTGACTCTTTCACAATACTTTGTCCCTTTTTTCCAAAACGGCCTCTTTTAAGAGCTAATATTAATCATTAGTGCCCTACTTCAGATATCAGGTTTTTGTAATAAACAAAATCAGACCAAGATAAATCATTTCCCCAAAATTTTTTAACCAATAATGTGACATGTTCAACTCACCCATCCATTTTTTAATCCGCTTATCCTCACGAAGAGTTGCAGGTGTGCTAGAGCTGTCTTTGGCCAGGATGCGGGATACACCCTGAATTGGTTACCAGCCAATCGCAGGACACACATTGACGAACGACCATCCGCGCTCACAATCACAACTAGGGGCACACCTAGGGAGTGTTGCGTTAACATGCCATGAATGTGGGAGGAAACCAGAGTACTCGGAGAAAAACCCACGCAGGCACGGGGAGAACATGCAAACTCCACAAAGGAAGGCCGGAGCCGGAATCGAACCGTGCACCTCCGCACTGTGAGACGGACATGCTAACCAGTCTTCCACTGTGTCACTCCATTTAAATATATTTTTTGAATCTTACCAGAAGGAAAGTCAAACAACAATGTGGTAGCAAATTTGTGCACACCCTCATAACTTGGGATGTGTGATCAGTTAATTCTGAACAGCCTCGTCCTAGTTTGAGAGCGCATGCACACTTATGCAACATTATATAGCTTATTATTATATACAATATATATTTTTTACAGGTTATAAAAGGCTGCTGGAAAAAAATGTTCCTATCACAAAAACCTGTTATTTGAAGGTGTGTTGACTTTTTATATCCTCGGTTACAGTTCTATAGCTTGTAAGAGCAGATGCAATGGAGTTAAAGTGACGTGATTCATGTAAACGCCCGCTTGGACTTGAATTGCCGCAGTCAACATGACCATGTTGACCACTAGTTAAATTGTGATGCATTTTCTTAATTTTGCACTATAAACCTGCGGAGTTGTATATGGATTTTGCTGCATTCACACTAACAGTATGCCTCTGGGATATGTCAATGGACACTTCATAGACCAGACGACTGAAAAAAAAAACGGAAATAAATTTTTTTGTCACAGCATAGTGATGTTTCTGGTGCATTTTAATCAGAAGACGTTTGGTGGCCTTGCTGCCGCCTTATCCTTGTCTCTGGCGCCATCTCGTGGTCAGATGGAGATCATCCGTGAAACTTTAATCACTTCCCGTCCCATTGTATGTCGTTAATAGTCACAATTTGCGTGGTAAATGTTCCCTAAAAAAATGATAAATAGTTATAAAACGGCTTGAGTGAGGTCTTACTGCTACTGTGACACCCCAATGAATATCCTTTGGTGGTTTTTAAACGCAGCCAGAAGCGCGTGAGCTCCTTGTTGACGTCACCTCCAGCGAAAGCCGTTAGCTTTTGACGTGTCGGTGACTAATGGCAACGTAACCTTGAGATTTATGACCACATGACTGACGCAAATCAAGTTCACATTTAATTGTAAATTTATATGTGTGATTTAAAGGAGGGTGTAGTGAACCAGCATAAAATTAAATTTAAAAATCCTAAAAAAAAAAAAATGTTAAAAAAAACGCGTTAGCTTTTGACGTGTCGGTGACTAATGGCAACGTAACCTTGAGATTTATGACCACATGACTGACGCAAATCAAGTTCACATTTAATTGTAAATTTATATGTGTGATTTAAAGGAGGTTGTAGTGAACCAGTGTAAAATAAAATTTAAAAATCCTAAAAAAAAAAAAAAAAAAAAAAAACAAACCCACACGCAAAAAAACTGGCAGTGTGAATCAGTTTGAAACAACATGGATGTCGACCTCCAGCCTGGTGGGTTTAATTTAAATTATAGCTCACTTACACATTAGTGAAATTAACTAAATGAAATTAATTAGCTATTTATAGCAGTTGATTTGACATCCTGTAATTTTTAAAATAGCCGTCTTTGAGACAAATGCCTTTTCCATCAGGAAAAAGGTAGTACTGCCTTCACTAAATCGTTCCGTGACATGCTCGTAACACAAAGATGTTCCTCAGTTTTAGGTCAACTATTTAAATACAGTAATTTGAAATGCAATTAATCACTTTCAGCGCCCCAAAACATCCCCGAATAAGAAAAATTGCACCATGCAATATTAAAACATACAGTAATAGTGCATTTACTGTATGTTTTTATGCAATACTTCTTCATTAATTGTAAAAAAAAAAAAGTTACGCTTCACTGCGTTTTGCATTGTTCACTTCACTTTCAGCAGCATCTCCTTATTTCCACAGAAGTTTGCAGCTAAGAAATCATTTAAACGCCATTAGCTAACGTTATTGACTTCTGCTTTATGTTATGAGAAGACACCATCTTTGACATCTTTAATGATAATGTCCATTAGACAGCCACCATGATTTGAAGGATTGTGGCAAGCCAAGCGGAAAACCATAGGTTTTAACAGAACTGCAACAAACAAGGTGATGTTGAGTTTCTTCTACCAGTTGCAGGCACCAAAGAATGTTGCTCATGTATGGAAGACTGTGGGGTGAGAGACCCTGAAAGTATGGTCTTTGGAACCGGACGACTACCCACAAAGAGACATCATCACCCCCTCCCAGATGCTGGGAGGTCCACAAAGGTAGCATCTGAGGATACGTTGCCAGCCAAAAGGACCAAGCATATGAACCTAATAACCAGCGTCAGAGCCACTAAGGTGTCTGTGAAGGCTTCGCTGTCTAAAAGGACCAAATGCAAAACCAGTACCACACTGGAGACCCTCAAAGAGCATCAGACGGTGAAAGTCACAAAGGTGTCTGTAAGGGCAAGATCGGCTAAGGGGAACAAACAGAAGACTGCAACCAAACCAGAAACCCTACTAAGGAAGCGAAGGATCAAGACCACCACGGTGTCGATGAAGGTCAGGCCTGCTAAGGGGACCAAGCGGAAAGCTGGCACAAAATCTGAAACACTTGTGAAGAAGCAGAGATTTGAAACCACTAAGGTGTCCGTAAAGATTGTAACAGCAAACGGGTCCAAAAATAAGTCTAGACCCAAACCCCAGACCCTTATGAGAAAGCACCAAGGTAAATCCAAACCAAAGACTCTCTTTAGGAAGCACAGAGGTAAAACCAAACCAGACATCCTGATCAGGAAAACAAAGGGTAAACCCAAAATGGAGACCTTACCTGGGAATCGCGGGGCTAAGACCCGATTGGAAATGCTAACATGTCATCGAGGGACTAAAGACAATCCAGAGATTCTTAAAAGGAGGCAAGGTGGTATAAACGAGTCGATGAATTTTGTGGCTGCAACCAAACGGAGAGCCGACACAAAACTGCAAAGCCTTCAAAATAACCAGAGGACCAGAACAACCACTGTGCCAGTTACAGTCCTGAAGTCTCAAGGAACAAAACGGAAAACAAGTACCAAACCAGAGACCCTAACAAGGAGTCAGTGGCTCAAAGCCACCAAAATGTCCATGGTCCAACAGGCTGAAAAACGACTCTTGACCACAACCAGTCAAGGTAAACCGCCAACACACTGAGACTGACAAGATGAATGAGAAGCCTTGACCAGTTTCTTCGAGGTTGAAAGCCAAAGTCTATCTGTGTGTGTTTGCAGGCTCCCTGGATCATAAGTATCAGCAACTAGAGAAAATCGGCGAAGGGGGCTTTGGATCGGTCTATGCTGGCTACAGGAAAGCTGATTCATTTCCTGTAGGTTCTCTGTAGTGAAGCTTCTCACCAAGTGTCGTTTTAGTTTGGACTAACAATTCGGCTAATGTCCCACGTCGACTAAATATGGGTGATAACAAACATACAATCGTTATCATCCGTGGCAGTATGCTCTGGTTCAATTAAGTTGATGCAGAGATTATATCTTAATGGGGTTTTTTTATTGGTTTGTTTTTTGCAATTTCTTACGTTTTCAATGTATTTTTTTCACCAATGAACAAATCAGCCCTATTCCAGTTAGTTAGTCGTTAGCTTGTTACCTGAAATGCTAACCTCTGTCAATTAATGCTAATGCTAATAATACTGAAATGCTAACGTTGCCGTCCTGATATGAGGCCAGCTATCCATTGTGAAAACTGTCAGTCAAACATGAGCAACGTACTTGTATTTTCTGTCAATTAATGCTAATGCTAATAATACTGAAATGCTCACGTTGCGGTACTGATATGAGGCCAGCTATCCATGGTCAAAACTTCGACCCAGATTAATGCAGGCTTTGTCAACTCAGATTACAAGGCTACTATGTTGTCCTGTTTTGTTTTGGTTTTTTAAATTGTTACTGGCAAGAGTGTAGACGCTAACTAATGACTGTGTCGTCTAGGTGGCCATCAAACACATTCCCAAACATGAAGTCAAGATCATCTCCCTGGTGAGAAGAATTTGACTGGAGTCCTCACGTTGTTCTTTATACTTTGTGGATAGTTAGCTAGGATTCTACGTTGTGCAATGTTCCTCTTGTGCGAGTGTCTTCTCATACATGCTATTTTTGAAAAAAAAATTATTGTTTCAACTATTACTTCTGAAACAATGCAAAATTCTCCAATGTTGTACTAAAAAAGGTCATGTCCTTTGTCGACATTTGTTTCTTACCGATAGAACATAAAGGGGAGGAAACACGACGTTCCCGTGGAAGCGCTGCTCATGCTGCAGGCATCGTGCATCAAGGACGCAGATGGCCACTCGGCCGTCGTGTCTCTGCTGGACAAATACGACTTGGATCAAGAACTGGTGCTGGTCATGGAGAAGCCGGCGCGATCCGTGGACCTCTTCACATACATCACCAGATGTCGGCTTGGACACCTCAAGGAGAATGAGGCGAAGGTATGGATGGAACGGACGGTGTATCGTCCTGATAAGCTGTCCACTGTTGTAACCGCTGTCCCTGAAAGAGTAAATGATTGGGTTTGTCTTTGTCAGAACATCATGAGGCAGCTGGTGGACGCCGCCATCAAAATGCACGCAGTAAACGTCTTCCATCGGGATCTCAAACCGGGAAACATCCTCCTGGAGGCCACTTATGGCGTCCCCCGAGTGCGGGTCATCGACTTCGGCTGCAGCTGCTTCGTAACCGAGGAGCCTTATCATGACTACACAGGTGAGTCGGCTCACACGTACACGTTTAGGATCGTCTCCTAACAACCGATGACGGGTGAATCATTTCGTGATGGGGCCTTCAGTGGGGAATTCCCCGACTTGATCCACCTCGTCATACTATCACGTCACAAGAATAAAAATCATCAACAAAATCCATTTCCATACTGACATACTACAGATAAATGTCATTTAATATAAACACAGAAGGCAGTCTTCACAATACATGCCCGTGATTATTGTTGTATTATATGTCCGCATGTGTTGCTGCCATTTGTGTTCAAATAAAAGTTTTTAAAGGTTTCAAATCACTGCAAGATCATTGCGAGCAGTCAAAGTTGGTTCTGACCATCCTGATTGGTCATCATGATGGAAAAATGGATAGCGCTGGCCCTGTGAGGATGAATTTCATATCTGATTGCTAATATAATTTAATACATTGTTCGCTGACCAGCATAGCTGATTCTGAAGGCTGTGGGTGGATTAGATTTATCCAGCAACACACAGAAGATGAAATCTGTTTGGGGGGAAAAAAAACCCCACATATACTCGACCATCCTGATTGGTTATCATGATGGAAAAATGGCCACAGTGCTGGCCCTGTGAGGATGAATTTCATATCTGATTACTAATATAATTTAATACACTGTTCGCTGACCAGCATAGCTGATTCTGAAGGCTGTGGGTGGATTAGATTTATCCAGCAACACACAGAAGATGAAATCTGTTTGGGGGGGAAAAAAAACCCCACATATACTCGAAACAGTGCGGCCGATTGGAAATACATGAATACAATTTCAGGGTTGGGTTGTAACAGTGGTAGTCAGTGCTTCCGGCAGTGTTTTGTACCTGACCGCCCATCACTGTTTTGTTTTAGGAACCCTCTCCTACGCTCCTCCAGAGTTTGTCCTGAGGGGAACGTACAGGGCTGGCCCGACCACAGTGTGGCACCTGGGAGCCATGCTCTTTGAGTTATTAGCTGGAAGTAAACAGTTCGACACGCTCCTCTTTATCTCCCAGATGCTCCAACTCAATCGGGTTCTGTCCCAAGGTATTATTACGACTGTACAGTGGGTTCACTGTACAGTGTACTACTATGGCCTCAAAACAAGACCCTCCGATGTAAAGAGAAAAAAAAAAAAAAAACAGGAGCTCATTTGTATTTTCATCTTTGTCTCCAATCAGACTGCAGAGACTTCTTGCATATGTGCTTGCATTGTGACCCGGAGCAGCGCGCCTCCCTAGTGCAGATCCACCAGCATCCATGGCTCATTTGATGATTCACAAAAACTCATTACCATGTGGAGCATCACGTTATAGGCTCTTTTTTTTTTAATTCCTCACCAACCATAAATGTACACTGTTGGATGGTGTGTCAATCATCCAAACCCAATTCCAATGAAGTTGGGACGTTGTGTGAAACCTAAATAAAACAGAAAAATCAGGTTCCATCTGTATTGAATTGACTATACTGCAAATATATTTATTTTTGATCCTGATATTTTTTTTTTTAGCAAATAATCATTCACTTAGAATGTTATGGTGGTAACACATTCCAGCAAAGCTGCGATTACCATTCCAGCAAAGCTGCGACCTGTGACTATATCTATACACACAACTATTTCTACAATTTTCAGTATAAGTAGGCTTCTGCAATTAAAAAAAAAAAAGAACACATCTTAACAAGGACTGCAATTAATCATGGTGTGCGCTGTATAAGGAAAATATCACTGGGTCAGTTGCATTTGCTTGGAAGCCCAGCGTTCTGGCTCCCTGGCCACTTCCAGAAGATCCCAAGCCAAGATGTTCCTGCTTCGAAAAGTAAGATCACATCTGAACAAGGGCTGCAATTAATCATGGTGTGACCTGTATAAGGAAAATATCACTGAGTCAGTTGCATTTGCTTGGAAGCCCAGTGTTCTGGCTCCCTGGCCACTTCCAGAAGATCCCAAGCCAAGATGTTCCTGCTTCGAAAAGTTGTCTCTCCAATGCGACATTTCTGGAGCGCCACACCAGTGCGGCATCCAGGAGTCGTGCTCACCAGATACTTGAACCAACTCATCTGGCTGCTCTCAATCTAAATCAAGAGTTGAGTTGAAGGCGCAACGAAGAGCCCAGACACCCTGGAGAAACTAATTTCGGCTGGTTGTATCTGCCATCTTGTTCACGAAAATCCATTTTCTGGAGTGGCTTCGTCAAAATCCTGCGCTCAACTTGATTGAGATTCTGCTGCATGACCTCAGGAGAGCTCTTCACAGAAGAATGATCAAAACTTCATCCTGATGCACGGTTTCATTTACTTTATTCTCATCCCTCTTAATGTTTATGTTCAATAAAAATACGAAAACAATAGTGTGCGTGTGTGCATTCATTCTTGTGACTTAGATACCAATCTGTACGTTTTATTACCAATTTATGCAGAAATGTAAGAAATTCCAAAGGGTTCACGTACCTTTCCTCCCACTGTGTCACATAGATTCCATTTTTTTCAATACCAAAAAAGACTGCCTTGAATGACTGTATAATGCTCCCCCTGGTGGCCAATTTGCGCACACCGGAAAGAGCCACAATGAATTAATCATGATGCACAATGTTTAATTCTTAACTTTGTTTCGTTTGCCATGAATGTATATTTTTATAAAGAACAATACTGCGGGGATTCCATTTTTATTTCTCAGACTAGTTTTTGTTTTCCAAAGTACAATATCGAAAGTGCTACTTTCATTTAAAAAAAAAATAAAAAAAGGAAAACATTTTAGGCTGCGAGGCTTGAATAGCTTGGCATTTATTGACATTTAAAAAATATATATACGCTGAAATGCTTGAAAATTGGGCCCACGCAACTCTTATGTCGCATACTAACTAACCAACGCTTGGACTGTGCAAGTGTACCTAATGAATCGTCCAACGTGTCGAGATCGTACCTCCTATTTACTTTGTGTAATAACAGCGCCGATGTTTGATTAAAACAGCCTCTGATAAAGCATAGCGCACACACTTGAGCACTTTGATTGGAACGTCAATAACAGCTTGTGCAAAGCTCACAAGCGCATCACGACGAGAAAAGGTGACGGCGCTTCATGTCTTTGTCCAAAGTGGATTGATTTCTGAAGGTCGTGCTCGCCGGCGGTTTAAGTCGCCAGCTTGTGTCACGCCCGTCGGGCCCTTGTTCGAGTCCCGCCGGGCCGCATAGCGCCTTTGACGTGTTTGTGATCGAAGCCCCTTTATGACTCGGCCACAGCACGCGCGCACAGGACAAGCCTCTAAAACACAGTCTCTGCATTATGTCCAAAGGGCTGCATGTTTACATTCAGGAAATAAGCTAAACAACAGCCTATCTGCAGGCAACAGCAACAACATGAACGTGGACAAGTTTCACCCGTTTCCATTTCTGCCCACCAACATCCACCCCGGTGAGTTCCACATAACGCAAAGGCGTTCACAAAAAACAAAACAACAACCCAAAAATAATAACGGACGTGGCAGTCTTTCTTTAAAGGAGCCCTTCAAAGTTGCTTTGGGGAAACATGTTTTATGATACGTTTTTTGTCGCTGTGATCAGAAACATTGTGAGGGCTTGCAGGGATAGAAGTGGGGTCAAATGCCCCCCCCCCAAAAAAACTATTTTATTGTCGCATTTTATAATATTTTTTGTATGACAAGAAGATATTCAAAACACGTATGGTAATCTACGTAGCCTACGATCTGCTTGTGCAAATGATCACGGGGCAGAATGCTGTGCAAAAATGCAACCCAAGTTTCTGAAGTGTGAGGCATTTTGATTTTTATATGTCTAAAACTAACAAACCAAAATACAGAATTGCGAAACCGAAAATCTTTTGTCATGACTTGCATTTTGATAACATGGTGCAGAATGCTGTGCAAATTGTGTTTTTGTTAAGTCTTTCAATAAACCACAGCAGCAGCAGCACCAACTATAACAAACACCTTCACCCATAAAAATAATAATAATCATCATCATAATAATAATAATAATGATGATGAATAATTGTAAACAATATAGTTAACATAATAAAGTAATTAAAAAGTGTGAACATATTAAATAATTAAAATTACATTAAAAAGATGAAGAATATGCATTGAGAGACATGACAACAGGGAATCTGGAGAAATCACTGCATGTTAGAAGCCAAGCCGAAAACCAAACTCAAATAACTCGTGAGTTTCAATCCCTCGGCATCACTGTATCAAAAAACAAAAAAATGACATCAGTGTCGAAAG